AGAAATGCCTTCTCTTTGTTTCCCCAGTAGCTAATCAATTGCCTGCCCTCCCCATAAAACCCCACACCCTGAACAGCCAGGCGTGACTTCTCTGGCCCCAGCCTTGGACCACTGAAGCTTGCCCGGGAGCTGAATAAATTAGCTTCTCACTTTCTTATACTTGCCTCAGTTTCCTCGTTTTACCTCGGCAATAAATCTTACACATACCTCATGCTCTACAAAGCACTATGCTGTGGGCTTTGTAGGCGCCTTCTCATTTAATCTACGGGTACATATCATTATCACCACTATTATAGAGATGGTAAAATCATAGACATGAAGGCCAGGGTTGCACAGCTCTTGCAGGTAGATGCTTAGAAATGCAGGAGACTACAACACCAGGCTGTGAGAAATACAATGTAAATGTTTACTGTATGCGGAACCTGGCTCTTCCCTTCAAGAAAAATCTTTTATTTATTATAAGGGAACATTTGAATTCTGGTTTATGTAAAGCATTTGTTTCTCTTATCCCACAATTGTAACTAAAAAACCCTACTTTGCCCATCTAAGTGAAATTTTCTTCTTTTAACCAGTAGAAATTAATGTTCAAGGCGAGGGCCTTTGCTCCTCTTGGGTTGCTTGAGCCTGAAAGAATGCTTCTCTCTCAGAGATGAACAGCTGGTTATTTGTTGTGGGGAAGGGCTGTCATGTAATCCATTTCCCAATTTTTTACAATGAGAGCTTTGGTGTGGAAAGCTGTATGTTCCATGACCAAGGAGGTGACAGGAAGTATGGTAAGAGGCACAGCCTAGAATGGAACATTCAGGCATTTCTTTTGTCATGTGAGCAAGAAGAAAAAGCACTGGTCTTAGAGTCAGACTGAATTCTTTCTTATTCAGAAATTAAAAAGCCTGGCTCATGAATTTGGGCAATTTGCTTCCCTCATCGGGGCTCAGTTTTCTCATATATGAAACAAAGTGGTTAAATTAGATAATGTTTAAGTTTTCTTCAGCGATGACACTCAAAGTTGGGAAATCTTGTCTTCCGGGTTTACTGTGAGCATGTCAACTCCACTTCACTCTCTGCCCTTCCCTCTCTGCCCTTCTTATTCTGTACATTTGATATTTTATGGTTCTGAGTGGTGACTGTGAAGTAGAGGATAATGAGTTAAAATTATGCTTCCACTGAGAAATTTGGCTTAAAACTGCTTTCATGGTCACTGTCTTGCTTCTTTCTTACAACAGTCCTGTGAGGGTATTAATTTTCTCATTTCTAAACATCAAGAAATTGGAAAATGTTGGAGCTTACCCAAAGTTACTCAGCTAATGAGTGACAAATTCAGACCTGAAGTCAGGTGTTTGGCTTGCAGTTAGTACCCTACTGTATAATAACTCAGCATACAGGACCCCACAGCACACCAGTCTCCCCTACTTCACCAATGCTGGGAGAGCCCTGACTTAATGTTTATTCAAAGGAGATAAAAGGATGTAGATTAATGGTTTACTTGGAACACATCTATCTTTGTTGTTTTATAATTAAGCTATCACTTATCCTCAAGAAATCTGTTATAAAGAAAAACCATCTAAAAAACAAAGTTGTCCCACAGACAGTGCAGTTCATCATAGGCAATATTTAAGCATAGGATAAATAAACTCCTGATGGTACTGAAGGAATCAGACTTTGGATAAGAATTAACCTTCAGTCTCCAGTGAGGTATTATTTGCACTAAGACAATTTAAGCTTGTGTGGAGAGTTTTTTTTTTCCTGACAGGAATAAATAAATCCATATAACAGCAATGATAAATTGGAATTTGAAATTATAGACACAACACCATATAAATTAGCACCCAAAAAACTAAAATTCTTGGGTATGAAACTAACAAAATCTGCATGAGATACATATAAAGAAAACTATAAAATTCTGACAGAAGGAATCATAGATATAAGTAATTAGAAAGATAATCTATGGTCATGGATAGAAGGACTCAATATTGTTCAGATGTCAATTCTTCACAACTTGGTCAACCAATTCAACACAGTCCTAATTAAAATTCCAGCAAATTATTTTGTGGATATCGAGAAACTGATTCTAAACTATGTGGAAAAGATTCAGAATAGCCCACAATATACTGAAGAAGAGCCAAGTCAGAGGACTGGCACTGCCCAACTTTAAGACTTATTTTATAAAGTTACAGCAATCAAGACATTATCATTTTGGGGAAAGAACTGACAAACAGGTGAATGAAACAGAATGGATAGCCCAGAAATAGGCCCAAACAAATATAGTCAACTGATCTTTGACAAAAGAGCAACAGCAATTCAATGAAAAAACAAAGGTAATCTTTTCAACAAATGGTGCTAAAACAAGTGGACATCTACATGTAAAAATAAAAATATAAATCACAGAAATTAACTCTAAATGAGTCATAGATCTAAAGAAAGTACAAAACTAAGAAGATAACAAAGAAAAATATTGAGGTGACCTCGAGTTTGGTGCTGACTTTTTAGATACAACATGAGCAGCACAATCTATAAAAGAAAAAAATGAACAAATTGAACTTAATTAAAATTTTAAAATTCTGCTTTGCAAAAGATATTATTAAGAGAAAGGAAATATGAGCCACAGACTGAGAGAAAATATTTACAGAACACACATCTGATAAATGCCTTTTAGCCAAAAATATATAAAGAACCCTTAAACCTTAAGAATGAGAAAACAAACTACCCATTTTTTTTTTTTTTTGAGATAGAGTCTCGCTCTGTCACCCAGGCTGGAGTGCAGCAGCACTATTTTGGCTCACTGCAACCTCCACCTCCTGGGTTCAAGCAACTCTCTGCCTCAGCCTCCAGAGTAGCTGGGATTACAAGGGGCCTGCCACCATGCCCAGTTAATTTTTGCATTTTTTAGTAGAGACGGGGTTTCACCATCTTGGCCAGGCTGGTCTTGAACTCCTAACCTCGTGATCCACCCACCTCAGCCTCCCAAAGTGCTGGGATTACAGGCATTAGCCACCACGCCCAGCACAAACTGCCCAATGTAAAGAATGGGTAAAAGATCTGAACAGACACATCGCCAGATAATATGTACAAATAACAAATAAGCATATGTTTAGTAAGCATATTAGGGAATTACAAATTAAAACACTAGAAGCAACCATATAAGATCCTATTATACATTTATAAGAACAGCTATAATTTAAAATACCAAATGCAATTAAGAATGTGGAGTAATATAAACTCATTTATTGCTATTTATTGCTGGTGGAAATGCAAAATGGTATAGACACTTTGGAAGACAATTTGGCAGCTTTTTACCAAACTAGAGATATTCTTTTACTATATAATCCAGAATTAATGTTTCCTGGGTATTTACCCAAATGATCTGAAAGCTTATGTCCACACAAAACCTTGTACATGAATGTGTATAGCAGCTTTATTTATAATTACCAAAAACTAAAGCATGCAAGTTGTCTCCAATAGGCAAATGAATAAACAAGGGTACATCCATACAATGGAATATTATTCAGTGATAAAAGTCAATGAGCTATCAGCTGTGAAAAAACATGGAGGAACCTCAAAAGTATATTCTTAGGTAAAAGAAGTAAGTCAGAAAAGGCTGTATGATTACAACTCTATTATATTCTGGAAAACATAATATAAATATGATAGCAGATAAATCAATGGTTGCTAGGAGTTTCAGAATTTAGGAGGAAGGAAGAAGTGGAGCACAGGGGATTTTTAGGGCAATGAAATTGTTCTATATACTGTAATCGTGGATAGTTGAAAATATCCATTGGTCAAAGTCCATAGAACTATACAATACAAAATCTGAACCTTTATGGAAACTACAGATTTCAGTTCATAATTATGCCAATACTGGATCATCAGTTTTAAGAAATGTACCACATTAATACAAAATGTTAATAGCTATATACAGATGAGAGAATGAGAAGATAGTTAATGTGCTTTGGGGTGCTCTAACTACAACTATATGGACACATGTTTTGAAATCTTGACAGCTGGAAGCATACCCCTGACATTTGAAAGCTGCCAACAATTCTTCTGTTTCTTCCAAGGAGGAGGATCAGATTCCTCTATGAGGGCATAGAGAGGCTTTGTTTAGGGAAAAACACTTACAGGACACTTTAATTAGACAGATGTAAAGAGCCCCCTTTTGAAACAGAGAGACTTCAAACAATAACAATTCAGTCATGTCTGTTAGATCTGTTTCTGGGTGGCCAGCCCAGCCCAGGATTCAGAGGGAATCTTGGTTATTCTGTCTTAAGTTCTCTATATGGCCAGGGGCCTGAATCACGGGTAGGGGAAATGCACCTGGTTAGACCACTCTCTCTACAATTGCTTTTATTAGTCTGTTTTCACACTGCTGTGAAGAAATACCTGAGACTGGGTAATTTATAAAGGAAAGAGGTTTAGTTGACTCACCATTCCACATGGCTGGGGAGGCCTCAGGAAACTTACAATTATGGCAGAAGGCAAAGAAGAAGCAGGCACCTTCTTCACAAAGCAGCAGGATGAAGTGAGTGCAAGCAGAGGGAAATGCCAGACGCTTATAAAACCATCAGATCTCATGAGATCCACCCATTATCACAAGAACAGCATGGAGAAACTGCCCCATGACCCAATTACCTCCACCTGATCTTGCCCTTTTCAAATGGGGATTATGGGGATCATAATTCCAGATGAGATTTTGGGTGGGGACACAGCCAAACCATACAGGCACTATGCTGGGCATCACAATTGGGAGACAGGCAAGAGCTAAGGATGCTGGGAGCAACTGTATCTGGTAATACTCACCTGCATTGTCATTCCTTTCTCATTCCACAAGCTTTCAACAGTGTTTTATAAACCGCACTATAGAGAATTAAAGGACAGACCTGACTTGTGTTTAAGGGAAAGCAATATGAAGAAAAATCACAGCTATGAGGAAAGTCAGGCTTGAAGAAGCCAGAAGCAACCTGAAAATAGACTGTTTATTATAATTTATATGTTGAAATCCTTACCCTCCAGGTGATGATAAAATCCTCTCACTCTCTTTCTGTTATGTGAAGACAAGTCTCTGCAACCTGAAAAAAAAAAAAAAAAACCCTCACCATAACCTGACCATGCTGGCACCCTGATTTGAGACTTCCAGCCTCCAGAACTGTGAGAAATAAGTTTCTGTTGTTTATAAGTCCCCAATTTGCAGTAGTTTGCTATAACAACCTGTGTTTGATTAAGTGGCACAGACGATAAGGGCTATGGGGGTTCTGAAGAGAGAGAGAATGCTTTGTGAGCTGGAGGAAACAGGGTAGATCCTAGCCACACACTGAGTATGTGTAGGATTCATATGCTAGTGGAAGAAAGCACTTTCCTGGTAGGAACCCGGGGGTGAGCAAATGTGTCAATTTCATAAAAAGTAAGCTCCATCTTTAAAGGCTATTTAAAGCATCTTTAATGGCTATTTGATATCAGTCAGTTTGGTAGCAAAGAAATTGTCTTCTTGTGCACATTTTGGAACTAGTTTGCCAGCCAGAAGAGGACCACATAGTCACACACACACATAAGCACACACGCACACACAAACTTTTACAATCTTATCCTGTGTAGGTCTTGCTGTGTAGATGCTGAAGGAATTCCAAAATATGCCTGGCTCACTCTGAAGTTATTTTTCCTTCCCAGGCTTGAAGGCAAAATTGTGTTTTTATATTTCTTTCAATCCAAGTCCTGTGGATCTGCTTAATAAGATTCAGACCCATTCTTTCTGTCTCAGGGACTGAAGAAAGAGAAGTCTCTGGAAGTTGGCCCTGCTTGAATTCTCAGTAGACTTCACAATAAAAAAGTTCAAACATTATGGCCTCCAGTCATCTTCTAAAACAAACAAAACCAAAGCAAGCCTGGTAGGCTCTTTCATGACTTACATGACTAAAATCCTCTCTCTCTCATTTTTTTCCTCCCTCCTCCACATACTCTTCAAACGCAAGTGAGTCATGCGTACTCTTGGAACTCAATTGATGAGTCCCCGCATATCAGTGTGAAATGTCAGTGAGCAAATTAAGCAAAAGTTCTGGCTGGGGGGATAAGTTGAGGTGGAAAGCTGCAGGAGTTGCCTGCTCAGGTCTGGTTTCCTCAGAGGAGGAAGAGCTGCTAGGAGTCCAGGACCAGAGACAAGGCAGTTGTCAAGGATGAAGCTCGTGGTCAAAGTCAGGACACAGTCAGAGAAGATTTAGGAAGCTGGAGCAAAGCCAAAGCCATCAGCCCCCACATGAGGCAAACTGAGACTCAGTGGAGGAGGAGAATGCATGAGACGGGGCAGGCAGCCATCCGGGGTCTCCTGTAGCTAAGACGCTCATTCTTGCAACATTTGCCATGTGGTTCACCAGTACCATATACCCCCAACCTCCTCTTGAGCCCTCCCACCATGTCCTCTCCTTAACTGAGAATTGGCTCTTCCCTGATAATCTGATTCCTTTGCAGTCCTCTCATGTGCAGTCAGACTGTTCTCAATCTGTCCTTCTATGTTCCTCAGAGTTGCTCTGAGCATGCTGGCCCCCAGTATCAGTCCCAGCTGCCTATGTCAAAGATCCTCTCCCTCTTGAAGCTCAGGTCCTCCAACTACACTGACCTCTGCCCCACCACTGCTTTCCCTTGTGGCCACCTAGCTAGTACTCACTCTCATGATAGTCTAATGATGACTGTGGTATCTGGTCCACAGTCTTCCCTTCATCCCATGTCACCACCCCAGGTGACATCATGGTCATCTACAGTGGCCAACCTGCACCATTTCCAGACATCTCAGGGGCCTAGCTTCTCATCTCCCCTCTGCATGCAGTACTCACCATTCATCATTCAACAAATAGTTACCAGCACCTACCACTTTCTATGCTCTGGGGATGGTCTAATGGGAGAGACAGTCACATAGGAGAGGGACACATAGGCACTCAATCTGGCAGGAAGGATGTGGCAACAGGGCCCCTCTTTGCAGAAAGGCAGGATCTACAATGTGGAGATGGTAGATAATCTATCTGGGCTGTAACAGAATCCCATCAGCAGCTGGGGGTAGAACAAGAGGGGTCTAACTCAAGTGGAAGGTAGTGGAAGGCTGGCATGAGCTATGTCAGGTCTCAAAAATCCTTCTGCATCAAGTTTTAAATGAGGAAAACCTGATTACCAGAAATCAAGTCAGAAGCTCAATCATATACATGGGGTCTTACTCATCTTTATAGACAAGCCTCTAGTGCTATGCCGGATCATGGCAGGAGCTCACTAAGCATTTTTCCAGCAGAACTCAACCATCATGAACATGATAAGCATAAAAAGTGCAGGGGCGGAAGCTACAGAGCAATCCACAGGGCAAAAAGCAGGCAGGCTGGATACCTAAGCACGACCAATGCTGGATCTTGCTTACCTTTGTGGATGGGGCTTCTATCATGCTCCATGATTGGGTTTTCAGGGTCCAGGCCTGGCTGTGAGTCCAAGTGGAAGGTGTGAGCATGAGGAGCTGAATAGGCCTGGCACAACAGGGCTATCATGGGATCAGCCTCACTAAAAAGTAACATGGTGCACCAAGAGGAACCCACAACAGAATCAACCCCATCTTCTGCCTGGAAGCCTCTTCTACATCTTTTGTTGTGGGAGAATCACCCAGATTTCTGCAATATGGACCACTGAACTCTAGAGCAGGAATGCCCAACCTGGGTCCCCAGCAGAGTCCCTAGAACCACAGGAGGCTTTAAAGACAACCCAGAGATTTATGGGACATTATTCTTATCCTTAAAATACTAACAGATGTTGAGGATACACAGGTGAACCAAAGTACTCTTATTTTTTTTTACTGAAATTAGAATCAACTCAGTGAGCTAACCCTGGATATGGAGATCAGAAACTATGATTAAAGGTTATATGTGCATTTGATTAAATTTAGATGGGGAAGTGATTAAATATTTATTGTTAAGTGTAGTTTTCCAGACAAAAATCTTTCAAAACATGTACTTTTCAAAGAGTTCATTTTAAAAAGGCCGCTATGGTATAGAAAGGTTGGAAATCATTTGATAAGAAGCAAGAGATAGCTTGTATATTCCATCAGCTTATTACATGAGGCCAGAAGCATCTCATTCCCTGCCTGAGGAGATGCTGATAACTGGGTTAATCCTGGGCTGTTAGTCAGGGAACCATGCAGCCTGGGACGCGGGGAAGCTGGCTTACCAATCCACGATTTATGCTGCCTTCTCTGTACAAAGCACATCTGAGGGTCATTAAAGACTTAATGAGGGGATTCTTGATACAGAAGTATCCAGTTGTATTCCTTGCCCATGGTTCTTTATATTATTTGGTAAAAAACACAGGTTTTAGACATTAAGAAGCCTAAGTCTGAAACCCAGCTCTCACACTTATTGTGAACATGACTTTGGACAAACATAGTAGTGAAGACACGTTGCTGTAAGTATCAAAAACGCTAATAAATAGTGGCTTTAAAAACTAGAGGGTTTTCTTATATAACAAGAACTTGGGTAATCTTGAGATGGAACAGTTCTTGAAGGGACTCATCAAGGAACTGGGTTCCATTCAGTTTCTATTCCACCGTCTGAGGGAGTATCTCAGCGTTCATCCTCTCTGTGGTATTATCTCTGTTACCCCTCCAGCCACTTCATTCGCAGACCAGGTCAGGAAGAAGGAAGATAAAGGGCAGAAAGCATGAATCAACTGAATCTGTCTCTTTTATTTTTTTATCAGAAAAGCTTTCGCTTACTTGGAAACCTCATTCAGAAGATTTGTGCATGTGTATATTCATCAGCATATTGCAGGGATGGTCTGGATAAAAACCAATTGACAGAGAATTGACATTTAAAGGAAGTGTTAATCAAGGAGTGGTATATAAAGATTTTCTTCAAATAGAAACAAGCGCTCTGAAATTTAAAAGTAACAAATCCTACTGAAGCCCATCAAATACATTTAAATTATTAGTTAAATGCAGTTAAATATGATTATTAACAAATTCATTAAGATGTTTTTGTTATAAATAGAGTTAACAATATATTTGAATGGGCTAACAATGAGAAAGAAAAAGAGGAGAGAGAAGGTCAGAGATGGAAGGAAAGAAAAATGAAAGGAATAAAGGGAAAAGTCTAGGGAAAAAAATCTCATTGTAACTTTTAGGGGTTAAAAAATCCGGAGACAACAGATGCTGTAGAGGATGTGGAGAAATAGGAACACTTTTACACTGTTGGTGGGAGTGCAAATTAGTGCAACCTTTGTGGAAGACAGTGTGGTGATTCCTCAAGGACCTGGAAATAGAAATACCATTTGACCCAGCACTCCCACTACTGGGTATATACCCAAAGAATTATAAATTGTTCTATTGTAAAGACACATGCATACGTATGTTCCCTGTGGCACAGTTTACAATAGCAAAGACCTGGAACCAACCCAAATGTCCATCAACAATAGACTGGATAAAGAAAATGTGGCACATATACACCATGAAATACTACACAGCCATAAAAAATGATGAGTTTGTGTCCTTCTTAGAGACACAGATGAATCTGGAAACTATCATTCTCAGCAAACTGACACAAGAACAAAAAGTCAAACACTGCATGGCATCACTCATATGCAGGTGTTGAACAATTAGAACACGTGGACACAGGGAGGGGAGCATCACACACTGGGGTCAGTTGGGGGGCACTAGGGGAGGGACAGTGAGGGGTGGGGAGGGTGGGGAGGGATAATGTGGGGAGAAATGCCAGATATAGGTGATGGGGGGAGGAAGGCAGCAAACCACCTTGCCACGTATGTACCTATGCAACAATCCTGCAGGATCTGCACATGTACCCCAGAACCTAAAGTACAATAAAAAAGTAAAAAATAAAAAAAAAATTAAAATTGGTAAATAAAAGTAAAAGGTAAGCATTAATTCTATCTTTTGTATACCAAGTATAGAAACTTGGTGGAGAAACCTGAGGGTAGTCAATGGATTATTGAAGGCTGTTCTCTTGACAGAAGTATTCCAGCTTTAAAAAAAAAAAAATGATAAAATTAGAAACTCATGTTTTATGAACTTTAGTAAAATAATAGATCAAGGAATGACTATGAATGGCTACTATCATCACAAAAAGAGACTGCATTAGACACAATGAAAAAATAAACCATCATCTAAAGATTGAGGTACTATTGCTAAAAACTTCAATCTGAATCCATCAAGCTTCGAGATTTAACTACCAACTTTCAGGAAACAGAGTTGCAGGGGAACATGTTAACGCCACAAGGATGCAGTCAGCAAGATTCAGAGTATGGGAAAGACTGCAGGCAAATGAGTAGTTTTTTTCAACAAGTAAGTTGCAAGGGGAAATAAAAAGAGAATAGAGGGGGATGGAGAAGAGATTTTAAAAGACTGGAGCCACATCCAACAACCGCAATATATAAAACTTATTTGGCTACTGATTTTAAAAACCTATTAAAAATATAAAATAATTGAGAAAATTTCAAGATTGACTCTGTATTTCATTATTATAAGTAATTATTTTTAGTTATCTGGTTATAAAAATAGTATTATCATTATATTTCCATGAAGAGTACTTACCTATAAAATACCTGGCAAAATTCATATAGATTAAATTATATAATGTTTGGAATTTGCTCCTAAATAATCCAGGGGGAAGGAGGAAGTGGATGGAGACTCAGATATTATAATATTGGCCCAAAATTGGTAATTGTTGGAATTGGATTATGGGTACATGAGAATTTATTATTACTATTTTCTCTACTCTTTCATATGTTTGAAATTTTCCATAATAATTTTTCAGAAACTAACCAACCTCAGAATGAACAGCATTAGACTAAAGAACCACTGAATTTGGCGCAAAGTGAAGAAGAAACCATCTCAAGCCAATGGTTTTCTTCATGGAACTGGCTACAGTTTCTTCCCAGTGTCCTAATGAGCAGGGCTCAGAGTTGGCATGAGAACCAGAGGGCTCTTTTGCTGAAAGTTAAAGTAAAACAAAATGTAGAAGTTCCATTCTGGTCCCTGTATCATCTTCACACAATTCTGAGTTAAAAAAAAAAAAATCTTTTCAAATTTCATCATAAAGTCCTAAACTATATGATCCTACTCCACCACAAAAATCAATGCACGATTGCTGCAAATGATCAAAAACTGGTAAGCAGCCCCTGGATAGAGTATTTTGGTTTAGCAAGGCTTATTTCTTTTCTGAGTATGCTCCCAGTTATATGTCCACATATGTTTCCACATAATTATGAGGTTTTTTAGGAAAAGAAAATGTGACTACAGAGAAGTAAGGTAATTTGAAATTCATCCCAAATTAAATGTTTGTTCACTCCAGCAACAAATATCTGAGTGTCTACACTTTGCTGGGAATTGTCTTGGGTTTACAGAGGTAGTGCTGAGGACAAACAAAAGCTACAGTTTTGCCTGGTGGAGCTCACAGCATGGGGAGACCTAGGGAAACAGAACACAGATTGTAAACACCCATGAATACCTGTAAATTACAACCTAGATTCATAGCAGTATTATTCGCAATAGCCAAAATGCAGAAGCAACCCAAGTTTTTATCTACAGATGAAAGGCCAAACAAAATGTGGTCACATATATGGAATGTGTATAACATACAATGGAATATTATTTTGCCTTAAAAGAGAAGTACATTCTGACATATGCTACAACATGGATGAACTCTGAATACATTAAGCCAAATGAAATAAGTCACTCACAAAAGGACAGACACTGTATTATTCCACTTACATCAAGTGTTTAGAGTACTCAAGCTCATCAAGACAGAAACTCAAATGGTCATGACAGGGTCTGGGGAGGAATGGGAACACTGTTTAGTAAATACAGAGTTTTGGTTTTACAAGACCCCAGCATCCCATAGGTACGAACGGTGGTGGAGATGGTGGCACAATCATGTGAATGTACTTAATGTCACCGCACCTTACACTTAAAAATAGCTAAGATGGTAAATTTCAGTCTATATGTGTTTTACTAGGTAACATTGAATTTTACCGCAATTAAAATGTTTTAAAAATTACAACTTGGCTGGGTGTGGTGGCTCATACCTCCCAGCACTTTGGAAGGCTGAGGAGGGTAATCACCTGAGGTCGGGAGTTTGAGACCAGCCTGACCAGCATGGGTAAGCCCCATCTCTACTGAAAATACAAAATTAGCTGGGCATGGTGGTCCCTGCCTGTAATCCCAGCTCTTCAGGAGGCTAAGGCAGAAGAATCGCTTGAACCCAGGAGGCAGAGGTTGCAGTGAGCTGAGATCGTACCACTGCACTCCAGCCTGGGCGACGAGTGAAATTCCATCTCAAAAAAAAAAAAAAAAATTAAAACTTAAGGCAAATGCCACCCAGAAGAAGCAGAAGATAGCTATTTTAGTAGACACTATTTCTTCCCTTCAAGCATCCATTCCCCTCTCTCTCCTTCCTAATATTACCCAGATTTTATTTAGAAGTCCATTTCCTCTCCACCTTATCATGTGACCCAGGAGACACTAATACTTTTCCACCTCTACTGGTGGATTCTGATTCATCTAAGTCAATCACACTATGACATTTCCCTGGCAATTTATGGGTCTGAGAATGGGTTTGGTACATAAACTATGTTGGTCCAATTACACTGAAGTAAAGCATTTATATTCCATGGTTGAAAAGGATGGAAACAAGGGCACACATTGGCTCCACTGCTGCTTGCAGCCATATTGTGAGCATGAGGATTACCTGCTTTAGGCTGAAAGTAAGGTAGGGAACAAATCATGGAAAAACCCAAAGAACTTGGTTATAGAAACAATTCGGTGACATTGCTGAGCCACTGAAACAACCATTCAGTGGCCCTTCTACCCATGGGCTTACCGGTATGTCTGACAGTGCATATTCTCATGTAAGCCAGTTTAAGTCGGGTTTCTGATCGTTCGGTCTACATCATCCTGTGTTAAGTAATAAAGCCCAAAAGGCAATGAATAAGAGTAACTAGCCTAGTTGGACAAATAGCATCTAGGCTGAGGCAACAGTGTGTGGAAAGGCTCTGTGACAAAAGGAAATGGAATTCTGTCCAGGAGTTCTGGGAGGTGAAAGAATTCCAGCCTGGCAGAAGCCTAGAGGGAGGGGCTGCAGATGAACTATCATATAAGATGAGGTTGAGAGACAGAGGGGAGCCAGACCCCTCCATGTGGGTCCTCTTACATTTTGGTCTTAATCCTAAAAAGAGTCAGAAGCCATTGGAGTGTTTGATGATGTCATGATTAAAGGACCAGATTTGTTTTTTCAACAGATGCTGTAATGTGGAGAACTGATGGGAGAAAGGACAAGGTGGGGGCAAAGAAATATTGCAGGCCAAAGATGGCAGCATCTTAGGCTAGGATTGAGGCTGTGGCGCTGAGAAAAGAGACTGTGAGCTTTCTGAAAGGCAGCTTCAATGACTCGCAGTGCTGAATCAAATATATGTGTGGAACAAGGGGATGTAAGGCAGAGGGAGGTGTCAGGGATGACTTCTAAGTATCTGGATATAACAGGATGAATGAGGAGCCTTTTAGTACAGAAGAAAGAGTCTTAACTGCAAACAAAGATATAACTAATCCTAACTTAAAACTGATTTAAGTAGTACTCTTAAATCATAATTAATAGGTATAGCAATAGTAACCATTTGCTAAGCATTTATTAGAGGACAGAATCTACATAATGCACTGTACTTTATCATAATCCTCGTGGCAGACTTTGATTTCCAAGGAGGACCCAACCACATCTCTCATCTCACATGCTCTCCTGCAATGTGACCTTGCCCTGGTCACATCAGGGAGTAGTGTCTACATCCCAGCTCTTAAATCAAAGAAGGCTGTTTCTATCAATGGAAGATGCCAGTTTCATCTATAAAATGGAGTTTAAAAATAAGAAATAAAAAACAAAATTAAAAGAGAAAAATAGAATATGGCTGGACACAGCAGCTCACACCTGTAATCCCAGCATTTCGGGAGGCCAAGGCGGGTGGAGAGAAGTTCCTTGAACTTGAGGCCAGAAGTTCAAGACCAGTCTGGGCAACATGTGACCCTTGTCTCTATTTTGTAATGGTATATTTTGCTTTTCTATCTTCTATCTCTTGGACTCCTTTCCACATAAGTTTATCTCTTACTTTTTTTTGGTCATTATTATTAATGCACTAAATAGTCATGGTTAAAAATTAAAACTAAAGTTCTAAGGTGATTTCTCAGCTGTACTCCCCAAAAGTAATCCCTGTTAAAATCTTGTGTGTCTTTTCAATTACATGTGTTTCTTTTATGATGGATATGTACTATGATTTACTTAGTCACTTTTCTGTTGATGGTCATTAGCAATGCCTTCTTAAAAAAAAAAAATTAGCCAGGTGTGGTGGTGCATGTCTGTGTTCCCAGCTACTCAGGAGGCTGAGAAGGGAGGATCATTTAAGCCCAGGAGTTTGAGATTGCAGTGAGCTAAGATTGCTTCACTGCACTCTAGCATGGACTAGCGTGTCACCCCATCTCCAAAAACAGAAAAAGGAGAAAACTAGCTATTTTTGAATTTATTATAAAAGTTATTTTTTAAAGACTATGTTAGAAGTGTTGCTATTTGACTTCTAAGGTTAAGTCGTAGAAAGCCATATAGCTTCTGAAAAGTTTTTCTGGGACACTCATTCTGGAGAAAGCCAGACCATAAAAGTGGTCCAACTAAAGCAGGAGAGTAGGGTCTGGAGGCAGGAAACCTAATGCCACTTCATGCTGACTTCCCATAATTAAATCAAAAGAAAAACCTCAACTTTTCATGCACAGGTAACTAAAGAACCAGAGGCTACTTTCTTTGCAACCCCCACCCCCATCCCACCTTTTCTGCCTGGCAGATGAAAAATTGAAAGTACCTCTGATTTGTCCCCTCCCACAACCAATCATACTAATTGTGGGCCAAGTCTTCATTTGCATAGGGGTATAAGGTTGGAACTTTATTTCAGCCTCCATTTGGAATAACTTTGTAACTTCACTTCAGCCTCTGATTGGTCACTTTCCATAACCACTAAGACTGATTACAGGCCACCACTTCATTTACCTAGGGTGTAGACCAAGTTACAAATAGGAAATTTCCAGAGGGTATTTAAACACCAAAAAATTCTATAACCAGGGCTCTTAAGCCACTTACTTAAGCCTCCTCCCACACTCTGGAGTGTTTTTTCACTTCAATAAATCTACAGTTTTTTTCATTGCTTTATTTGTGCATTTTGTCCAGTTCTTTGTTCAAAATGCCAGGTACCTGGATACCCTCCAACAGTAACACAACTACCCTCAGACCACCAAGCTGGGATAGCCACATGGAGGCAGTCTAGTTGTCAGACACCACTGAATTCCTTGTCAACAGTCAGCATCAATTCACCAGCTAGGATGATGGAGCCACCCTGGAAATGCATCTTCCAACTCCGATCTCATGACTACATCTGTTGCCATGAGAAGCAGAAACAAGTCATGTCCACTGAGCCTTATCCAAAAAAAAAAAAAATGTGTGCAAAATAACTGATTGTTGTTGATCTTTTATGGCACTAAATTTGAGGGGTGGCCAATTGCACCCCCTGGCCACCGTATAGGTAAAAAATAAATAAGACTAAAAGAAACTTGCCGAGGATCACAGAACCAGTAAGCACAGGAGCCAGAATTCTAGCTAGATCTGTCTGGTTCAGAGTCTGTGCTATTTCTTTAATCTCATGCTGCCACCTTTTCAGTCATGTCTCAAAATTAAATTGCTATTTCTATTCAAAACATCTTCAAACCCTAATCTCAAGTACATGCATTTTGAAAGTAATCTACTCTGCTCAAAAACAGCAACCCACCAGTTGGAGTAAGACATGGTCAATTGCTAGTGCTTAAAAAAGAGTTTTGGTGGGTTTTTTTTTTCTGTCCCCCATCATTTTTTCCCAGGCAGTAGGGAATTGATAGAAAATTAAAACAGACAACTTCCATTTTCTTTCAAGAAAGATTTATGACCACTGTCTACAGAATTTCTGACCGTAAAGTGAATCGTAAAACAAAATGTTTTAAAATAATATATTTAAAGCAACACAGTGCTATGTACAATTAATGTAAGACTGATTAGAAGTGATAGTTTCTGAGTAAAAGTAAACCCAGAGAAATATGAGCTATAGGGGTAACAGCATTTCATGAAACACTAATCTGTCAGTGAGGAGCACAAATCAAGGGAATAATCAGGCATATTAATGACTCTAGAGTAACTTTCTCTAACTCATCAGTCATCCTCAAGTGGAACTCTATCTCTTTGCCACTGCCTTCTTCCAGGCCCTTAGGACTCCATCCTAATGTCCCTTCAGCCTCTCTGAACTGGTCCTACTACCCCCAGCCTCACCACCGCAACATTGTGTCAACATCCCATATCCCAGCTTACCTTCTCCCCTTTTCCAGGGCCACGCCCTCAGCCTGGAATGCCCACTGCCTACCCATGACCAGGATAAAGCTTGCTTATGCTACACATTTTCATCCACATGCCAGCTCCTTGAAGCTGTCTCTCCTGGGTGTTTTCCAACCAGAGGTGGGGTACTTTTTCTCTGAGTTCCCACAAAACAGCAAACTTAGCTCTGCAGGAGCTCTTCAGTCTACTTGCCAACAAACATTTACTGAGTGATACTGTGTACACACAGTATGCCAGCCACGGGAGAGATAATAGAGAACTAGACAGACAATCCCTGCTTCCAGACACAGGCCTCAAATCGGTGCCTCTCAACCAGCGTAATTCTTCTCCCCCGGGAATATTTGTCCAAGTCTGGAAACATATTTTATTGTTAAGCCTGAGAGGAGTGCTGCTGGCATCTAGTGGGTAGAGGCCAAAGATGCTGTAAAACTTTCTACAACTCACAGGACAGCCCCAACCACAAAGCATTGTCTGGTCCAAAATGTCAACAGTGTCAAGGTAGAGAAGGCCTACCATAAACAGGCAAATAAATAAATATGATCATTTCAGGGACTGGTACAAGCCATGAAAAAATGAACAGGAGAATTTGTTAGAACACTGGAGTGAGAGAGCAGGGAGACTCTCTAAGAGAGACAGTGAGTAGAGATTGGAAAAGATGACACCCTCACACAGTCTGTATGACTCTACAGTCTGTAAGGTCCACCGCTTCACCTGTTATTACTCACAATAACACCTTGTGGCACCGAACACCCACCGAGTGCTGAGCACTGGCCCAGAGACTCATTCTATTTGCCATTTTATTTAATTTACCTCTTGATGTAAATTTCTTGTTTCCCCAGGTTGAAGTTAACCTGATAACATGGCTTAGGTTTGTATTTCTTATAAAATGCCGAGCATAACCATGCACATGAATACATGAATGAGACGATCTTTCCAGAGCATACATGAGAGATTCAAGAGCTGAGCACTTCAGCCTAAGGTGACTTTGTAGAGTATATTAGTTTCCTGGGGCTACTGTGACAAAATATCCAAACTGGATGGTGGAAAACAACAGAAGTTATTCTTAGTTCTGGAGAGCAGAAGTCCAAAATCAAGATGTCAGCAAGGTCATGCTCCTTTGGAAACTCGGGACAGAATCCTGCCTTGCCTCTTCCGGCTTCTGGCTGGGGCCGGCAAGCCTTGGTGCTCCCTGACTTACAGCTCCATCACCCAAATCTCCACCTGTGTTATCACACAGCATCCTCCCTGTGTGTCTCTGTCTCTTCTTTTTAAAAGGACACCAGCCATATTAGATTGCCCCGCCCCGCAATGATCTTTTCTTAACCAATAATGTCTGCAAAGACCTTATTTCCAAATAACATCACATTCACAGATAACAGGGGTTAGGACCTCAGTGTATCTTTTTTGAGGATACAATTCAGCCAATACAACGTTGAAGGGTCTGGATGGACCACTTCTAAGCCTCAAGCATTTCAGGGGCAAATGAAAGCCACACTAGCCAAGGCCCACCCAATAAAAGTGACTGTGAAGCACTTAGTAAAATTAGAGCCAGCTTCGGTGAAGAAGCAGCAGGATGAGCTTTGAGTTCTGTGATCCTAACCCTCCAACTGACTGGGCCAGGTAGAGGCCACAATTCCCTTGTTATTCTTCTCTCTGCTCTGGTTTCTTATTTGGAAAATCTAAAAATGGCAATAAACCCTTGCATTTTCCCAGGGCCTTGCAGCAACCAAGAAACCTTTTATGTA